CGTTCCTCCCCCTCGAGATTGGAAAATCCTGCACGAAGAAAATGGACGCACCGCCGATATTTACAGAGAGAGTCTAGCGTATGTACATACAAAATGAGAAAGAGAAGAAACGTAGAAGAAAAAATATACATGACAGTTCGAAGCGGTTGCAATTATATCGAAGTGACGATGACGATGATTATGATGATAATAATAATATTAATAATAATAAAAAGAAGAATAAACGTAGTAATTTATGTACAAATTGGCAACTTACCGTGGATCATCTGACACGCACAGTGGAAAATAATCGTGAACGTCGTGTTAGGCCATTTTCTTTTCTAAATTGATCTCTAATACAAGGACGAAGAAAGAAAAGAAAGAAAAAAAAAAATAGAAAACACGGGAAAACACGCAGGGAGACACCGAGCCGGTTCAATTCGCCGGTAATGTTCACTCGCATGCAGTTTTCACGCACATAATACGGTAATAACAATGTCAGAGAGCAAGAACGTCACACGTCGCAAAGATTTTCTATACTGTACGCATCTCGATCTCGGCGTCGCGTATCTCGATCCAAGCTGAGTGTCGTTCTTCGTCCAATCGAAAGATGAGGACAACACGTGACAATAAAGTAAGAAATAATCGACAATCGACGTTTACCGAGATTTGCTCGCTTTTTCGTTCTCGAGTCGTCGATCGGGGGATTCGTTCGTTGACCGAGAGCAAACGAAAATTCTGAACTTGTGTCACGCGACCACCGTTTTTCACACGAATTTTAATCAAAGCGTTTACTCGCAAGAAAACGAGCAGGCGTTCTCGCGAGGTGAGAAGCGACAACGAGCCGGAAAAGCAAGCTCATCAACGGGATTTGGACGCGGTGAAGATAGATAACGAAAGGGGACGAAGAGACGAGAGATAAATGACGAAAGCTCGGATGGATGTACGAAAGCGACGTAAAAAAATAATTCAAGACATCGCATTACACAGCAGCATTACGTTTATTGTAGCACACCAAACGATATCGATATAACGCACTATAATCGCATATATGGTTATACTTTTCTAATCTATACTTTTACCACCCTACATCTAAATATTATATATATATATATATATATATATATAATATGTGTATGTGTGTGTATCTCTAACTAATTGTAAGGATATGCTTCTCTCTTGTGTGCACTCGTTCGAACGATTACAATAACTAGACGAAAGCGTTCAGCAGAAAATAAAATATAAAAATCAATCACAACGTGAACTATGTATGTGTTACACTATGTATTACACCAGAAGATAATAGAATTTTGTGTAACAAATGATAATTCTTAGCCTACGATGTCTCGACAATAAGTACGTACATCTAAAAGTGGATCGTGGATAGTTTTCACTCTCGACGAATAACTATGTA